CCGAAACGCGATCGCGATTTGGGTCGACCCTATTCCGAATTGGGTCAGATTTCGATTTGGGTCAGAACATTAATATTAATATGCATGTACTCGTGATATACGCAGTGCATGCATGTGATAGCCACCTTACAGATCTCGGTTTTTCGTTTCCTTCAAAAATACACCAAATAAGCAATACTTCATGCAAATATGTATTTCCATTATGAGGTTACAAGTCTTTGATCTCGCCCATTGTTTAACTGCAGGCCCCCCCAATTTTTGACATTACATATTAATATTAAGTCTTTTACACTGTCGTAATTGCTAGTGGATACAATAGTATAAACCTGTAGAAACATATACTCTGCTGACGTAAGTTTATTAATAACATGATGATTAAATGCCGTTATTTACGGCGTCCAATCAGACTCGATTTATACAATTAACGCTACTACTACGATAACTCGCGAGAAATGTCAACTTTTTGTCATGATTTAGTACTATGAAGAACGAAAAGTTCAGGGACGTCCATACTTTGGAAACGTGGTTCACAAGTGCAGTCGTGGATTTCAAATCATGTGGTTATGTAATGTATTATGGTTATGCTGGCTGGCAGACATAAATCACAATATTGGAAATATCTTTTAGTAAATATGTCGTTGACCAAATATTAGCATAGCGGAGCAGTTGCCCGCAATACATGTTCAAGGTCTATTTATATCATTGTTATTAATATATATACACATAAACAAAACGAAAATAACCATGAATACTTTTGCGATATAATCGTATGAATAAAAAAAAAGATGAATACCAACGAGATCGAGAAAGTATTTACACGAATGAGCTATTTAAGAAATTTAAAAACCCCTAGCAGATAGTCAGATAATTGAAAGCCAACAATGTGTATGCTATGTAGATGCGTGTGTGCAATATAAATACAAACTAACAGATTAGGTTCTATTACATGCCCGACCCTACAAATGCATTTATTTGGTGCTCTTTGTTCTGTTCAGCCCCCCACCCGCCTTTGTTTTACTCCTTAGACTACCAAACGATTTCTCATTGTTCTTGGGTTGCGCTAATGTCGCGGATTTGGAAGAAATTGAATTTTTGTCAACAGCGTCTGTTTTCGTTGATAGTTTGTCTTGCACCATTTTGACTAGTATGTCAGAGTACTTTTCCAGAAGCACCTGTGCTGAGTCGTCCGAGATCATGTTGTGAGGGGCTGCAAGCGCTGATCCAGATGGTGAAGAAGCGGGGCTAGGTGGTGCCAATAAATTGGTGGATTCGGGTGATTTGCATTCAATTCTATTATTATGGTCACGTAAAGTCGTCGAAGCAGTTGCATATGAATTGCTCGAGTCTGCGTCACACTCTTCGTCATCATCACCCTCCACATCTGCATCAACTTGTGCAGTCACACGTTTTCCTGCAGCACCAGTTTGTTTTTCTTGTGTTGATGAGCTTTCTTTGGTCATGTCGAGACTCTTCCTTATATCGTCCACCATCTCCATTAGACTGGCAGATATGAGCGTTTGCACGCTCTCATTCTTTGTATTCCCGCCAGCAATAGATGATGTAACTTTTTTATAAACACCAAGTGTTCGTTCAAGAAGTACTGACATGTTGTAGACATCGTCAGCGATAGCGTCTTCACTTAATTCAGTGTCCTCAAATGAAGAAGGTACGTCATTTACGAAAATCGATGTTGATGTTAATTCCTTTCCTAGATCACATTGAATGCAGACAGTGTATATCACGTGAGCGAATAGTACAACAACTGATCAAATCAGTAACATAAACGAACAATTATTCTCACCATTGACAGTAATACCTAAATCTTTGGCTAGTTTTTCGACATTCTCTTCGACAACAATTCCGACTTTATCGGTGTTCGGTGTCTCAGAGGCACCGATAATTACGGTATCGTGTTCGTCTGTAAATACAGGCTTTTCCTCTTCCACCTGATCCGCCAATAATGGTGACTGACCATCTTCTGACCTTACTTGACTGAACGTATCGTCACTCTTTAATCTCGTTCTTTTTTCCTTCTCAGCAAGGACAGAGATATTGGATCTAGCTATAAAACCGTTCTGTTTATCAAGCAACTTATGCTCCTGAGAGTTTACTGAATAATCATCATCTGCTCCCTTGACGGTTGCCGATTCAGAGAGCGCAGGTGAAGAAACAGGTGAAGTCTGCTCTTGCCCAGACTTGTCTGGCTCGACACGACCGTTTGTTACCTCTGTTAAGCGTCCTTCTAAAGCTTCCATAGTTTTTTCAAAGCTGCCCTTGTCATCACTCTGTTTATCCTCTTCATCCTCTTCTATTGCAAGGGCTTTATTGTCACCCGAATTAATCATTTTCATAAATGCTTCGGTTAAACTCGCACGGCCACTAGAATCTCGCGATTGTCCACCGGACAAAAACTTTAACGTATAACTTTCTCGTCTCTTCCTAGATTCAGTTGCACCCTTATGCGCATCATTGTCATCATTATCATTTTCACTAAAACTAGCCTTTATCGGAGTTTGCAAGTATATCTCTAATTGCTTGGCATGATCGTCACTTTCAACATCATCTTCCTCTTCTTCCTCCCCCTCTTCATCCTCTTCAAGTTCGTCGCTAAGAACGTCGTCCACACATGTCTCGGTTACCTTATCACTTCCGCGACCGTCAGCCAAATCGATTTTCGTCACAGCTTCCACAAAACTTTCTCGACGACGCCTTATGTCCGGTCCATTAATGTATACATCGTCCGCTTCTTCCGGCTGTGCTACGAAAATAGTTTCCGCATCCTCATATGCTGAATCATCAACACCTGTCTCTTCGATAGCGGAAGTCTCATCATCGTCATCTTCACCATTATCTTCCCCCTCTGTACTGAGAACTGTGTTCATAGACATGGGCGAAGTGGAGAGAACTGCCGCACGAGCTGTTGAAGATGGCGGAGACATGGATAATACTGATTTTGGTGAGCCTGCTGTGAGACTGCTTTTTGATTTTTTGGACGAAATTCTAACTCCGGCAGTATCCTCAATAGTTGATTCGCGCTGTAGTTTACTTGGTGATCTGACTCGAGGTATTGTCTTCGGAACGGCAGGTAACGTCTTTTCCACTTGAAGATTGTTTGTGACAGGCGGAATCTTTGGTATTGCATTCCCCTCGTTGCTAACAGAATCTACGCCTTCGGAGTCATTTTTTTCTCGAACGCGGTGACCCTCTTTCTCTTTGAAGGCCTTTTTCGCCCAGCTTGGTAAGCCTAACTTCCATGATTCTCGTCTCGAAGAAGAGCCACTCTTCGATGACGGTGGAGAAGGCGTTGTGGACGCCGCAAGCGGTATTCTGCTGGGAGATACTTCAGATAATGGTCTCGTCTGTTGTGTTGTGTGAACTTTAGTGTCGTCGACAAAGTATGAACCGGGTCTTTTTGAGGAATGTCGCAGTCGTTCTTCACGCTGTACATCAGATGGCAAAAGCGACGAAAAAGATTTTCTCGTTCTTAATGATCCGGAACCCTTTCGAACCTGAAAAACGGGGTCATCACAATTAGCATCGCCGTGTGCTGAAGCTTCATTTATAGACTGAGGCCTTAAGGCGGGCACGGTAGTTCGGGGGGGGCGGTTGTGGCGACACGCTTTCTCGGAAAACAGGAGAGGTCCTCCCTAGTGCGCCTGCAGCCCCGCTTCTTTCGAGCCACTTTTGTCTCATTTTTTCGACCCATTCGTCAGACATTTTCCATACAAAAACACAACCATCTGCAGACGTGGATATTATTCGTTCACAATCCAGAGTGAATTTAACGTCAGTAATCAATTCCGAATGCCCAAATACTTTCGATAAGATAGTGCCGTTTGCAAAATCAAAGAGTCGAATGCTTCTATCGGATCCGGCTGCAACAGCAAGTACACCGCTTGGATCCAAGCCGACTTTTAGTAGACTTCCTTGTTCCGAGGCATTTATTTCGTCTGGTGTATCTGGTTTGTACGATCGCACATTTTTTCCAGAATCAATCTGGTACAAATTGAGACGACGCTCGCCAGAGACTGTTGCTATATATCTGTTAGATATGTCAATATCCATGTCGAACACTGTTGCTCGCCCCGATATGTTATGGTATGTGACGTAGTAAGGAAAGTCTTCAGACTAGCATGAATTGCAAAGTTGTAGACACATCAGTTAACAATCATTGATTATTAAATAGACAATAGTGACTTACATCTTGACGTGCTCTGAATATAATACTTTTGTCGGCCCCACAACTTATCAATCTCCTGCCATCGTGAGTAAACTTGATAGCGGTAATTGATGAAGAGTGATCATCTAGTGTCTGTATCAAACGAAAATCACTTTTTATGTCGAATATGTGTAGTATTCTATCTCGACTTGCAGTTGCAATAAGATAAGGTGAATCTATTTGAATACGATAAGACCCGTTTAATATCAACTGTTGCATTATTTCGATCGAGTTTTAAGATAAACATGAACAAACCTCTTGATCGTCCGTCTGTAAACTCTATTGTTAATATTTCCGCTTCATGAGCTTCTTGATACGTAATCTTTTCAAACGTGTCTAGATCGTACACACTAATACGCAAATTTCAATTATAAATAAGAGATAACAACCCTAAAATTTTGAAAGAAAAAAAAAAAAAAAAGGAACGAAAAAGACCAAGGCCAAAGCTACATATACACATACCTCAAATTGCCTCCTTTATCACCGGAAGCCAATAGTTTACCGTCCGGGCTTATTTTCAGAGTGCGAATCCCTAATTCGTTTGCGCCACCATTAACATTTGGATCCGAGTGGTCGACATCTTCCATAATAAGGATCCATATAGTTATTAGCTGTTACAATAGCAGATGTAAAGTTGTTTAATTTACTTACCTGTCTTTTCTTTCTGAATAGACATGCGAATATTTCCATCCGGATCAACGTAAGCAATTCGTAAGCAATCCTTACTGAAGATGTTTCGCTTGAGCGTAGTCTCGGCAGTTGGACTGGTTGCAGTATTAGAGCCTCTGTCTAAACTCCAAAATCGAACCGTATTATCTGCCGAGTAAGTGATAAACGTATCCTCGGGGTATGGTGAGGGATTTGATGAGTCTCTAATGGGTATCATCTAAAATACAACGCAATAACTCTGTGAGCCAGATGATTATACGTATTTAAAAGTCGCATTGTTCTGGATTCCGATGACTGACCTCTACTCCCCAGACATTAGCACAATGATATAAGAAACTTCTATATTTTCCTATCTTCTTTACATCTTTAATGTCCCATATAAAAAGACTTCTATCACTATAAATACAAGTAAGTTTTCCTGCCTCTCCGTCTAGTTTGATGGCAACAGTGTCAGGATACGTGTCATCGTGTCCACCACCGTGGTAAACAGATCCCGTCTGCGTAGTCAAGTCAACGCCTAATGGATGCGGTTTAGGTAAAGTACCTAAATACTTCAAAGTGATTGGTTCAAAAAGCCTAAAGAATGGCAATAAGATGTTAGCGTCTCTCTCATTCAAGACGAGATCAAATCCCATAGTGATGGATCACCTGACAATGCCATTGGTACATGCGCAGATGATGTATTTGTCACTAACGTCAAGGGAAAATGCACCTGTAACCTGATCAGATAGCGAAGAATAGTGTTAGTTAACGCCGTTAACAGAAACAATGATTTTTGTCAAGTCAGAGCAGGGAAATAATTAAATAACCTGTAAATCAACCCATTTGTCCATCAACCGTTCGTCTGTGAACATACATAAACGTCCATTCGATGTAACTAGATACGTATTGTCTGATTTTTTGCAGCAAACTGCATCAACAAAGTTATTATCCCTTAAATCCCCCAAGATCCCTGATCGACCGTCAAGGACTTGTACTAGCGATTTTTGCGCAGACTAACCCCGAAAAACCCCAACAAAGTATGGACATTAGTGAAAAAATAACAAGGGCAATTCACTAACGCTAACAAAATAACTTAATTTTGGTTGCTGTCAGAACCCACCGGTTTTTTTGACAAGAGTCCATTTGAATCGAAATACCAGAATTTAACATGTCTTAACCCGGCCGTAACAAAAAACGATCCTGTTCGATTGAATGCTAAAGTGTGTACTTTCGTGGTAATCTTGTTGCACGCCAACTTAGTCCCTTGCTTCCAATTCCATACGTTTATATAGCCATCATGCTGCAATTATAGAATGACCATATTAGTTTCACGTAGTAAATCAGCGTAAAAATGTTCACAAAGAGCCACTTGTTCTACCTGAAATCCTATCGATACAATATATTTCATGTTTGGTGAGAATGAAAGTGCGAGTATGCCATATTTGTGACCTTTCAATTCGTTGACTAGTGTTTTAGATTGCACTTCCCATATCAGAATGCGTGGTTGATGACCACACTAAAAAAAAGAAAAAAGAATTATGCGTTGGGCTGTGTAACGTTTCGCTGCATATAGAAAGTTCAGTGAGACAATAAATTTTACCTCTCCAACTATTAAATAAGCACCATCTGGAGAAAACGTCAAACAAGATATTGCCTTGGTTCTGTTGCCAGCGGTATTCTTTTTGTTATTGGAGCTTGAAACATTCGGCTCCAGCGCGCCCAATGAACTCAATTGATTGGCTAATGCGTCTCCAGCGATTGTATGTCGATTATTTGGTGCAAGATTGTGGGAAGGTGAAGACGATGAGGATGCATATAGGAATCCGACTTGTTTATTCTTCTTGTGATTATACAATACAACTACAGCGCCAGCTGCATATGCTATAAGATCAGTTGACGGTGCTGAAGCAAGAGCAGTTGGTTTAAATGTCGTAAATCCAAGAATTCGTTCCAATTCAATCTGTATAGAAAGCAAAATTAAAAATGTTAAGTCTGTTCGTAAACCGTAGTATAGATTAACGACTGAATAGCTTGTTACAAGATAAAATGGGGTTGTTGTTTTTTTTTTTTCAAATCGTGAACAGGAGTCTATTTTAAGAGACACTGGGAAAGTTACTGCACTGAATTCAAGGAAAAAAGGAGCTTTATTTTCGTTGTTTACTCTTGAACTGGAATGTATATACGTCTCCATATACGTTTAATGTATATATCACAAGTGGGGGGGGGGGGGAAAGAGAAAATGATACCAACAACAGGTGCACTTTGTTCTTTCTTCCTTCGTCTGAGACCACCATTCTTGGGCGAATAAGCTGCAACAGTAAGAGGTCTCGAGGCCCTCGGGGCAAACATATTAGACTAGTCAGATATTAATATAATATTGGGAGTATGTGTATTAAAGTAATAATACTGTCACTGTCCGTTCGCAGGTATGTTTAAAAAGAGAAGTGACACTAAGCGTGTAGAAAGGTATAGTCGTGAGGAAAAGGTGAAAATGAAGGAAGGGAGAGAGCAATGTGTTTTTCTCTCTCGAAAAGCAACGAGTGGCAAAATGAGTTTGGGCGTCGGGTGAACATTGTCTGGGATAAAAAAACTGCAGGAATCTTGGTTGGTGTGATAATCATTATGCATGCGGGTTGTCGAATTGCATGAGGAGTTAGTTTGGGGACTGCAGTAAAGTACTCAAATAAATATAATACGTTCCAAAAATATTTAGTACATATAATAAACCATTCAACGCAATTGTAATAGTGATCGTCGTTGTTATACAAACGCTTGCCACGCCAGTTCTAAATTTAATTTTATGACGTTGTGTTTAATTCCCAACCAGAGTTAACCCAATTAAGAGTTGGATATGGTACCAAGTTGGTGACAATTGTTTACTTGTGCGCATGAACGATTTTTCAGTTTTGGAAATGATTTTTTGGCACGTTCTAATTTACCCTACCTCGTTATCGGTTGCCTCTTTTGCATAGTATCATGCAACAAACTTCCCTTAATATAGTCTCGAAATTATTTATGTAAACAGATTAATATTAATACTAAATATTAAAACCAGCTTTGTAAGCAAGAGAAATCTGACGATCTTAATGCATCAAAAGAACACTGAAATGTACGATTGTGCAGGCACAACGTAAGTGTTATGGCATGGCAATATGTGAGTAGCTTGTTCTTAATAAGAACGTACACATCTACGTAATCAGACATACTTTTTTTTTCTACGGTAAGATAACCTGTCTCGCATCGAGTATAGACCATATACTAATACGGGTACCCATATAACAAGAACGACGCCATACAAGACTAGTCTTCACATCTTCTACGATTTTCAACTTTCATATTGAAGCATATAAAATAAACACTATATATATACTATTTGCATCGCGTCGATAAAATTTTCTCATATTGTAAAGAAATTTTGCGTAACAGTAGAAAGTTTTCTTGGTACAACTTGAATTGTAACAAATATTGATAAGCCTTAGTTTTTTTGAAATTACAAGTGCCTGGTTGAATATTCTGTTTTTTAATAAGCAATTTGACGTTTAAAAGGTACATTCCAATTAATCTCTCTTGTCCTTCTGACTTTGTCTTATTTTTCTGGATTATCACGTTCCTTTACTAAATATAGATGCGTTATTGACAGTCATGGGAAAATGTCCCCTGTACATATACAGGGGTCGATGATCACAGTGATAGGCATGTCAATCACAAATTTCACAAAGATAGAATAGATAGTAATAGTCAATTTTTCACGGTCATAGTCATAGTCATAGTCATAGTCATAGTCAGGGGAAATGGCCCCTTTAATACATAATACAGTGCCTACCAAAAAGTTGTAAAGTTTTGCAAAAAACAAACCTTGTTTCGAAGTTCTTATGTATTTACAACATACGTAGTAACGCGTTTTACATTGGTTTGAAGCAACTGGACTTTTGAAAAATAGACAAAAATACACTGTATTAGTATTTGTAACATTATTATTATTAATGAAATGAACAGTAGATGGCGCATATTAATAGTGAGAGAGAAGTGTTAGTATTAGTATTAGGCGCCGTTAGTTGTTTATTTAGCAGTTAGTAAGTTAGTAACTATGGAGATGGGTGTGTGGGATGGAATAAAGCGGTCAAAGGGGCCTAAGATGATCCTGATTGAAAGTAAAAAAGTAATTTAAATTTCATAAGTAATTTTTTCTTGATCTAGATGTTTGGGCATCATTGATTTTAAAAATGTAAGGGGCTGTTGAGCTTTCTTTAAAATACTTTCAATGGTGCTGTAATTTTTGGGTTCCATATTCCACGATGGATTTGATGTAAATTAGTTTTATATTAATATTTTTATATATAGAGGTAATCCTATATTAATCCTGTTATGGTTTATATTCCTCACCTTCTAGTCACCCAACATTTCACAAAATAATTTGGCTAGTGTCTTTTCCGAATTTTTGTCGATCATTTTCCGAAGACACATATTGTCACACATACTGTATGTAATTGAAATTTTCGTCTATAACCCAAGACAGAAATTAAAATGTCACAATTGAATACTTGACACAGTTATAACAAAAACGTTGCTTCTGAACTTGCTTTTTTTGAGCGATTTTGCATTTGCAATGAAATAGATGTTCGTTCGAAAAGAATCTCTTGACAAACTTTTACCCGGCAAATGATAGTAGTATTATAGTTTCTTCTATTCCTTCATTGCGCGTAGTTTCTTTCATTGCAACTAGACGCTCGCATGGCTATTCTATATTAAAGTGCTTATTCATAAACAACTTATTAAATACTTTTACCGCTTGTTTTTCACAGCACTTGCTTTGAAGAGATGAGGGAAAGAAGACTCTGTAAGTAATACATACTAATACATATACGTATATGAGTAAAGCGAGACGGAAATGCTAGACTATTCTGTTAACATGTCACTGAGTTTTCTTGTATGCTCTGAAATACAATTTGCTTTTACAACAACTACCAAGAGTTATGCAAATTGACATAGAATATATTATTTAAATATGACTATACCGCTTGGTCTGATTCTTCGAATATACGCGAAATCAACTCAACAATGAAGGATCCAACGTTTATGTAATTCACATAATTGTTAATAACGACTGTCATTAATGTGTGTGCAAAAAATTGACATGGAATATTAAGTATGATTTTGAGTTTACGTATGACGATCTGTTTGATTTTTCGAAAACGCAAAATTAATTATTAACGTAAATTCAAAATAATACCTAATATTCTAGGTCAATTTTTTGCACACACATCGAGAACAGTTATCCTTAACATGCATGTAAATTTCATGAGCATACAATTCTTGGTTGCTTATTTAGGGTTTCTAGCGATAAAGATTGATTTCGCGTTTTCGAAAAATCAAATAGATCGTTATATGCAAACTCAAAATTATACTTAATATTCCGTGTCAATTTTCTACACACAAATCGAGAATGGTTATTCTTAACATGTATATAAATTTTATAAGCATAAAATTTCTGGTTACTGATTTAGGGTTCTAGCTATAAAGATTGCTTTCGCGTTTTCGAAAAAATTTATATGTAAACTCATCGTGCTTAATAATTTTTTGCACACACACGGACAACAGTTGCATTTAACATGCATGTAAATTTGGATTCCTGGTTGCTGATTTAGGGTTCCTAGCGAAAAGATTGATTTCGCGTTTTCGAGATTATTTACTAAACTAATACACATTATGTACACCATCACGCCCAAATTATTCAATAATTATTACTTGGAGATCGCATGTATTTTATTAATGCATTATTTAAATAATATTATTACAACAAATACTGCGACCACCACGAGCACCCATCCGAATATTCGAAGTACTGGCATAATTAGTACGCGCGCTTTGGAGGAGGAAAATTGTTGTGAAGAGTTAGTATTGTTCAGCAGCACGATGCCAATTAGTTCCGCGTTACGTGTCAGTGTAACTTGATACCTGCTTTTTGCACGTGGAAAGCTCTACCGAAGTTTATTGGCCTACTACAAATAAAAATAAAAAGTGGCATATTAGTATTAAATTTGGTCATTTATTTTTACTCTATGATTATATGCTAATAAAAAGGCTAGTAGCAACACAAAAATTAATATTAATCTGATATTAATGTACGATTCTTCGGTTATCTAATGGCGGCGGAGCATGTTTCTTAAAAAATAGAAAAACAGACATAATAAGTATGCAAAAAATTTATTTCCTACATGCTTGCAATAGTAAGTAGTAACCGATATCCATTATATCGAGAGTCCGTTATGTCGAGTTTTACTCCACTAAATTTATCTTCAAGAATTGGACGAAAATTTTAAAAAGTTTATAACTTAACGTATAGTGAGTTGAAGTTAATAATTATTAAAATCGAACCACTGGTTGCTGAGAAAACAAATATTAAAGCATTCTTAATATCTTAACAGGTTAAAAAATTGCCTTAGATTGGCTACTATAAAATTATTACAAATTTTAAATTTCGATGGTTATACTGCACAATATTTTTATTGCATTTTCAGTAACATTAGAGAAATAGTATGAACAATGACAAATATAATTTCCTCCGCCATTACTTTTGTTCCAGCATTGTTATTACTATCGAAAAATAATTCGAGTGGGACGTATAGTGACGGGGAGGCACCTCGGTCTAGAAGGGGACGGCCATGAAGAAAACAGTGATCATAATTTTTAGTTACAAAACTAAAATACGTAATAAGAAACTTTTTCCATGTAGTAATTAGTCAAACATATTCTTTACAAGCACAAAACTCCAACGTTATAACTATGTAGCCTTTACTCAGTCAACAATATCCCAATATAATTTAGCAAGTGCTTTGTAAATGCAAAAACTAAAATATATAACTATTACTAATGCAATATTACACGTGTTCGTTTACAACAATAAAAATTTTATAAACCAAAACATATGCAATACGCAAATTTCTCAGTTATTATTTGCGCATCGTTTTCAAAGATTAATAAATACATCAATAATACAGCGAATATATCGGTGTAAAATTATATCTAATTTTAATAATCAATCAATTCTTAAAAACTTTATTTAAAGCGCTCTCTTTTTTAACTTCCAGTGTCTAAATCTTATAACACACAAATACACAAGCTATATTTTTTTCCTTTTCGTCTTTCTACACACAAAAAATTATTATAATTGTTCATCCCCGGTAATTCCATACATCATTTTTTGTTTTGATTTATCGCTTTCAAATCAAGTAGCTGTTTGTAAAACAAACAGCGTGAAACTGACGAATAACTTTATACTTGGATGTCATGTAATGCTTTTTTCGAGTAAGAATACCTAACATGGACGGTTTGGCAATTTACATAACTTT